AGCATCCGTAACAAGAACGTCCCTTGTTCAGCTGTACATGTAAAGAACTGCCTGTTTTTTTCCCCTCTGAACCCACCACCTGTTGGTCACACTGCCAGAGCTGCTCAGGTTTCCCACCTTGCTTCATTCAAGTGAGAGAGGTTACAAGAAGATAAAAAGTGCTCCTTCACGCTATCGGGTTTGAATTATTTTTCTTCATCGTACACATGCATGTATTCTTTGCCTAGTGTCATTATTACAGGATAGCTGCCTGGTTCTGTGCTCTGATTCATAGTCCTAACTCTAACTGGAATGCTCTGAGAGCAGAGCTTGAGCATTTTCGAGGTCTCAACAGGAACTCGCCCTCAGCTGACTATGTTCCAGCCCCTTCGCGTGGCAGCTTACCTCCACAGCCAGACCTGATACCACACGGCAACACAGCAACATTCCCTTCTCCTATTTTCTGAGCAGCGCAGACTCCGTTTCTGCAGACTTGCTCTTGTAAGTCAGCAGAAGATGAGTCATCAGGAAAAAAACTATAATGATTTTTCCCCTAGGAGTCATATAGTAAGTTAATTATTGTACAACACATTCTAATACAAAATACATGAGCGGTTTCAACTTCTTGAGGTTGCAAAGGGCAACAGAGCTTTTCAGAATTTCCATCAGTTATGGTCTGGGAATGCTGGGTTTCCCTTGACTCAGTATCTACTGCATAATCAGAAACACATTTGGTTCCCTTTGTTGTATGAGACAACGCTAAAGAAATGTGTGTGTTATTACTTTGCAAAAATAAAGAGTAGATACCTAATCGGCTTATGTCATGTATGCAATGTTTATAAACACAACTGCTCTGGGGCAGTTGCTCAGCTGGCGAAAACTATTACAGCTTCTATCAGCTGAAATAACGCTCTTCTGAATCTGCAAATGCCCATCAGTCTTGCAGGGGAAGTCACAACACAGGAATGTGATGCGCCGTAGGAATCTTTGGTGGCACTGTGTTAAAACCTGCTTGCCTGGAGCTCACCTGTCAGCGTACTGGGCTTCAACCTCAGCACTGTTGTGGTTTGGTTACTCGTATCCAGTTGGCCCGGCATTGTCGGGTTACTGTGTGGTCAGTATCTCAGCAGCAGATGATCTTAGCAGTGCATAGAGGGGAAAATCTGAAAACAATCTAAATGCCTTCAGCATCTGAAATTTTTCTGTTGAGAATCAGAAACAAATACATATATAACTTCACAAACAATAAAGGAAAAAGACTTTTTCCAGTAGTTATGGCACATTGTTTTAAAACCTCCAGTTCTTCTTATTTACAGATCCTCATTATAGGAAGGAAAGACTGGTATTAAAGGTGCTGATTTAAAATTACTAATTCAGTGAACTCGTAATTTTAGACATGGCTCTGGCAAGAGATGCACTTTCCTGAACACTCATTTGGCAGACTGACATGACGACCTCTCTCTTCTTTCTTGGAATTACTACATCAGAAAAATCAATTACTTAAAAAAAAAATCTCTGTTGTCAAATGAGCTTGAATCTTCACAGTCACTCTGGATCTTCCAGTATTTGACATGCAAACCATAGAATCTCTTCAATTTTCTCTTTACAAAAACTTCTATAAATAGGTCAGATACTTGGAAGTGTATTCATTGATCTGTCATGTAGAGGGGTGCCAACCAGGTATTTGAAAAACAAATAAGCAATCCAAATTGGGCAACGAGGGACAGCAAGCATAGAGCGATGCTGTAATCCCAAAGCACGCCATCAGCGCATCGGAGTGCCTTACTGCAGTAATGGAAAAATAATCCCCATCCCACAGGATGCTGGACCTCAGTGGTCATTAAGAAACATGTGAAGATCATAAGTTTTTGATCAAAATACAAAATAAAAAACCCTCGAGACTCTGCCTTTAAAGTGGAGGAACTTCCTTGGAAGCTCCCTCCCACTTTCAGAAGCGCTCCTCTGTTCCTGGGACTGACAGAAGCATTGAAATAACTTTATCTTGAGAAATAAAGACCACTGACCACATTATTCTTACCCTTTCTTCAAAGACTGATCTCATTGTGGTTACGGCAATCGAATTCATGGTCAAATGCAAATTTCTCCGTGGTGTGCTAAGACAAAGTAGGCAGGTCCATCATCCGTTACAGATTATCTAATGCATCATAGTAAAGGTAGCAAAAACTTTCACTGTGGTAAGGAATCAATATAAAGAATGGGGTGGTTTTTTGTCTATCTCCCACTGTATCCAACAGTCCTGGCACAGATGAATATACTGCAAAATAGATTTTTCTTGTTTTCAGGCAATGGTCTAGGAGCAAAGACTTGGAAGACCAATGTACATCCTCCAGCCTTTCCCCTGCAGGAATACTATGATACAAATGTGCTTCAAAATGCCTCTTTAGCATTGCAGAGGCTTACAAAGTTCTTATCTTCCCGCTCTAATAACAAAGCTCAATATTATTCTTAATTATAGACTTTGCTAAGCAAAGGGAGGGATTGTTTGGAAGCAATTTATTTACTTAAATAAAGGAGTCTCTTTGCTCCATAGCCTGTGGCGCACACTAAGGATACCATTCTGCCACCCACAGAAGGCAGAGAATGCACCAGTCTTTATTTCAGTACAGTTAAGCGACAGATATGACTACAAAGGAGGAGGAAAGCGATCCAGAAGCTACCGAGGCAGACTTCGGTGCTGTCTTGACTAATAATGACAGCTAGAGAAGCCAGTGGTGCAAACTCGACTGGCTTTCAAAACATGAGTATTATCCCATGGTGGATGTACCACTGGAAGCAGAAAGGCAGCATCGGGATCTTACCTCTGACGTTGGTCCTTTCTGTGGGATCACACACAGCACTTCATTTCTCTGGGCCTAATTTTCATTATCTGCTAAGGTAACGATTAGTTATGCATGACAGCTGTACTTAAGTTTCTGTGACTCTCTGCTAATCACAGTAAATTATTATTAATTAACTATGTCAATCAAAATACTAATTTACTGAAGGCTCTGTGCTGCTTCTCTTCCAGGAACCACTGCAAATTTGGCAACCTAGTAATCACAGTGACTTCAGCTGCCCCATCTGTCTCCAGACAGCTACTCTCCCAGTGGAAACCAACTGCGGACATTTATTCTGTGGTAAGGTTTCTGGACTGATAGCGCAACGCTTATACAGGCTACTAAATAAAGCAGTCTTCTTACAGAAATCTCAAGTGCTGTGTAAGAACCAGCACCAAGGTCTTCTCCCTGGAATTAATGTAAGCGCTCTCACTGGAAGCAGATGTCCCAACTTTATAGCCCCACAAAAAATCAGTATTTTTATTTGCTCATTGCTTTCACATCTACAAGGTGCCACTTTTGAAATGCCCAGGAAGGCTTAAGATGATAAGTTAACAGATCATCTCACAGGATACTGTTAAATTACAACACAAACTCACAGAATGGGTAAAAGGCACCCGAAAATCACACAATTTGTATTCAACTAGGCGAAAACCCCTGTTATAAAAATCAACAGCCTAATACTCATAGTTTGTAACTGTGAAAGCTCAAGGTGCAACAAACATGAAATCTTATCTTCAAGTATGAACTCCCTCCTTGTTTTTTTAATCAACAGCACAAAAATCTAGCTATCCCATAAATTTAATTCTGATTGTGTTTATATTGGTGAAAATCAGGAGTAAGACACACTGGGCTCAGGTCTGGTTCTGTTCCACAGACTTGCTTCCCATGTGAAACATCTGCCTAAAATAAAGCAGAAGAGATCTAGAGCAAGAAGGCACAGTTACCTTGGTTTGTACTCCTGTAAAAGTTTACTACACAAAAAAAATAGTGGAAGTTACATATTAAACAATTCCAAAAGTGAGTTCCTAGTCATGTATAAAGCTTCTTTTCATCATAGATAAATGTGTCTGCTAAATGCTGCCTTTGAGATGGCTAAGCCATATGGTTAGGATTACAAAATTTAAATAATTTTTCAAAGGGAATACAAGGATGAAGCGCAGAACAGCGGAGGGAGTTATGTTCATAATTGCATTTATAAATGGTATTTCAGGCTTTTTAAGGCCTGCATTCCGCACCACTAGAGCTTTGCACCTGCTCTGAAAGGCAGCAGGATGAGGCCCCCCAGCATGCTTGGACTGAGGGTTGTTTCTCTCAGACCTCTGAGACACATCGCCCAGTGAACTTAGGGGTGACATTTACACCCCGACTGCCCCAGCTGGTGATCGGGTTCCTGCCGAATGCCGCCATCCCCACAGCAGAACCGGAGTTCATGACCTGACGCGGCCGAAGCTGCCGGGGA